AGAAAGACAGACAGATAGAACGATCAATATAACGCTAGATAGACAGGCAGACAGACAGATAGAGCGATCAATATAACGCTAGATAGACAGACAGAACGATCAATATAACACTAGATAGAACGATCAATATAACACTAGATAGACAGACAGATAGATACGATCAATATAACGCTAGATAGACTGACACAGACAGACAGAACGATCAATATAACGCTAGATAGACAGACACAGACAGGCAGAACGATCAATATAACACTAGATAGACAGACAGACAGATAGATACGATCAATATAACGCTAGACAGACAGACAGATAGAACGATCAATATAATGCTAGATAGACTGACACAGACAGACAGAACGATCAATATAACGCTAGATAGACAGACAGACAGATAGATACGATCAATATAACGCTAGATAGACAGACACAGTCAGACAGAATTATCAATATAACACTAGATAGACAGACAGACAGATAGAACGATCAATATAACACTAGATAGACAGACAGACAGATAGAGCGATCAATATAACACTAGATAGACAGACAGACAGATAGAACGATCAATATAATGCTAGATAGACAGACACAGACAGACAGATAGAACGATCAATATAATTAATGCTAGATAGACAGACAGACAGATAGATAGAACGATCAATATAACACTAGATAGACAGACAGATAGATACGATCAATATAACGCTAGATAGACTGACACAGACAGACAGAACGATCAATATAACACTAGCTAGACAGACAGACAGATAGAACGATCAATATGACGCTAGATAGACAGACAGATAGAACGATCAATATAACGGTATATAGACAGACAGACAGACAGATAGATAGAACGATCAATATAACACTAGATAGACAGACAGACAGATAGAACGATCAATATGACGCTAGATAGACAGACAGATAGAACGATCAATATAACGGTATATAGACAGACAGACAGACAGATAGATAGAACGATCAATATAACACTAGATAGACAGACAGACAGATAGAACGATCAATATGACGCTAGATAGACAGACAGATAGAACGATCAATATAACGGTATATAGACAGACAGACAGACAGATAGATAGAACGATCAATATAACACTAGATAGACAGACAGACAGACAGAGCGATCAATATAATGCTAGATAGACAGACAGACAGATAGAACGATCAATAGAACGCTAGATAGACAGACACAGACAGACAGAACGATCAATATAACACTAGATAGACAGACAGACAGATAGAACGATCAATATGATGCTAGATAGACAGACAGATAGAATGATCAATATAACAATAGATAGACAGAACGATCAATATAACACTAGATAGACAGACAGACAGACAGATAGAGCGATCAATATAACTAGATAGAGACAGACAGACAGAAAGAACGATCAATATAACATTAGATAGACAGACAGACAGATAGAGCGATCAATATAACACTAGATAGACAGACAGACAGA